TGGATGTAAATACGATAGATATGGCAGTGATATCAAACGTACAATATAAAGAATATTGTGCAGTCATAGTCGCATGTTATCGCATGTTACTTCTTCTATGATTGAATAGATCAGGCAATCGAATGAGCAAATTTGAACGATCATTCGATAAATATCACAAACCAGAATGAACGGCCACAACGTCGACTTCGTCACTTGAACAAGCGCAACTGCTGGCGCATACATAACCACAGCCATATAGGCTAATGTATTGAAAAGGAACAGCAATGATCCGATTCGACGTAACAGTTTACTGTCGAAACGTATCTCGAAATACTCGTACACACTTGTCATCTTAAATCATCTGATTTGCGCTTGAGTGAATCCCAGAATTAACAATTGTTCAGGAATGTATCCAATCATTGTAATCCTATATATTATCACAAAGTTCAGGACGTTTTCGAAAAACTGACTAATATAACCGGAAATCCAGATAGTGCATATGGTAATTGAGATGTTTCGTTGCATACTTTTCAAAAAAAAAACGCAACAATCGCACGGCTGAATGCCTCAAAAAATGTACTTTCGATGAGAATGGGAAATATTTTTATGAAATTATGCTGTGAAAAACAAATATTTCATTGTCGGTTGTCGAACGCATTGTTTTATTCATGATTCATAACCAAGGCAGCCAGTAGTTGAGTGCGTTCCCCTTCGTTGCAACAATAAAATAAAAGTAAACGAGAAACGATAAAGTACACATTCTTAACAAGATCGATACCTTCAGTTTGTAAAAAATTGGCAGAAAGAAAATGGCACTGAAAATGATCGCAACGATAAAGTGCACATTCTTAACAAGATCGATACCTTCAGTTTGTAAAAAATTGGCAGAAAGAAAATGGCACTGAAAATGATCGCCACAGAGCCGGTGATCGAAGGAAATATGAACATTAAACCTGAAATTACTCTCTAATGATTACTACTTTAGAGAGAATTTGAAAATGATGTCATAAAATGTGAAAAGATTTTATTTTTGATCGAAACTGAACGTTGGTTCACTCAAAAAACAACAACTAAATACGTGATATTCGCCGAATACAATTTTGATTACGTCTGAACTATTGCACTTTACGTAGATATTACGTTTATGAAGAAAATATTACGAGTAACAGCTGTGTGTTCCCAATTAAGTTTACGAGGAAAATATTACGACTTCTTTGCCGAATATGGCAGTAACAAACTGTTTTTCAGTCAGCGAATACGACAAGAAAAATTGTGTACGGAAAGCATTCCACTGTACACGATTCGCAGCAGTTTGAGATAACTTGTGGAAAAATCAAAATGATTCATCGATGAACATTTCGTGGATTCATTCAAAAACTACACTGTTGAGCTACTCACCTCTGTGATAAACTTCAGCTGGTTGTCCAAGAAGAGCAATGCCCGAAACAAATGTGGTGAGTAACGATAGACACACAGGAACGATTGGCAGTTTTCGATTACCCAACAAGAATTCCGCAACTCCATCGTCTTGAGTCGATGAAATACGACTGGATTTATAGCCATGATAGACACCAACAAATACCGAAAGCAGCATAAAGCCGGTGAACACGACGATATCCACAAAACCCAACATTATGAGCAGCTGCTAGCCTCTGGTGCGTTTTCACCTGAATCGCCCGTTTCGATAAATCATTTGAGGATATTGCCGAGAATGAATTCATGCGAGTTGCACAAGGAATGCTGATCGCTACGCAACGAATACGAATCAATACAGTTGAGTAAATAAAAACAGGTCAACATCAATACACACGAAAAATTAGGGCAATACTAATAAACGCAATATATCCTCATGAACACGACATTAGATCAACGATAAACCCTCAAAACTCCATCAATACTAAGCGATATCAATGCTTTGGAATGCATGCAGTAATGCTGTCATAATATAATACGTTATCAACATATTATACAGTGCATAATCTCAACTATAGCATAATCTCTCGAGCGAAAAATCTTTTCAATGCGCACTGTCTCGACCAACTTATCGGAGTTGTTCAAATGCGTACACTACATGCGCTCTCCGAAAACCTTCATCTAAAAATGAGGTGATCTGACGAGTGAGAATTTCTGTAAAAAATCGATCTTTAATTATTGAAATCCGAACAAATGTTGCTAGGCAACTAATAGCAACATCAACATAAATTAGTAAGTAAGTCGCGTTCAAATAAACATTCAGCGTGCTGGCTCATTTTGGTTAAATGGCAACAATATCGATGATGATATGATGATATTGACGCAGGTTGTAAAGCATAGCTAGTGTGAAGTATTTGAGTGCTAAAAGATTTTAAGATGATGGATTAAAAGATGAAAGGAGAACAGACATTAGAGTTTGTGAACGATAAGTGACGCGTTAAACGATAGATAGATACATTGGCATAGCATATGTCTAAATTTTATTCATAATTGCACTTTCACCTCGTGTTCATCAAAACGATCGCTGTCTTTGTGTAAGCTTCCTTCGAATCGCTCCCCTCCCCTTCTTTGATAACATTACAAATTCATATGGCCTACGAAACGTATCCATCGAAGTGCTGCTGCATGATCGCAATCAATGCCCAAAGAACACAAAGCGATCTTCGTTCAGCGCTCAATAAAACCAATGCATATAAGCTATTCATAAGCCAAATAAACATGTGCATTCGAATAATCGCATGAAAGCGAGTTTTGCAAAGAACACTTGAACAAACAACCTGGCTGACATTCGAAACGAAAGAATATGTTGAAGCTGACTGCTAAACAGTTGCTGCTCGTCGGTGTTTCCAGAACGTACCGAAACTCGTGTTGGAACAGTGTTGAATATTGTCGAATGGCAAATTGCTCGGAAGCTGAACTTCATTGTGCCCATCAGGCTACGGCCAAACATAAGATTGAGTGAAGTTAGATTAAAGGGTGCCTAGGTTTAGCCTGAGCATAAACCGAAGCCTACACGTAAGACAGTTGGAAGTTTTGAGTTAGTGACAATTTTGGGACAGGTCTTTTGCTATTTAGTCGAGCCGCCTCACATTCTTGAAGGAAACAACTGAATTTCTACGGAAATACGTGCCACGCCATCTGATCGGCAATTCAATGGAAGCAACTATATAACAAAGCAATTTCACCGATGGATGAAATTTCAACGATTCAACACGCTCAATGCTCAACACATTAGTATTAATATATTAGGTTCACCCAATTGCAAGAACTTTAATAACACCAATCAATCAAAAGGAAATTACTCATCAAATAGAAGAGTAAAGAAACAAACTGAGGAGAGTTGATAGGAAGATGATTCCGCCTCGACCGATCGCGTTGCATAACTCAATGTTTCAGTTGCAATTAGTGGCTTGATTTTCACATCTCACCGAAACGAAACTAGTTCTGATCGACCTTCAGTCGTTTCTTCATCAACATCATCTTCGGAATACACAAATTGAATACGAACAGCCAATACGAACAGAACTGATCGAAAGAAATGAATCGCACGTAATTTTTCGCAAGCGATTTCTTCATTTCACTCTTAAATACGCCTTGTATTTAAGAGTGAAATGCGAGATGATCACATTGTTGTTTACTTAAAGCTGCATAAAAGTTTTTATTTTTTGTACTGACGAGCATTTTCGATCAGTAAATGTCATTCAAAACGATTGTTATGCGTACAAAGAAGAACACAGCCTTGTAAATAAAGGCAATTATTTGTTATCGATAACAAAAACTTCTGAATGAACACACCAATTTGAACATTGTCGACAAAATTGTAAGCTCATGACTGTGTTTTTCTTTCTTAAGTTTCTATCACTTTCTGAGGTGAATCAAAACTCTGAACATTCCAGTTTTGATGTGCGTTTTTTTCATGCTTTATGTGAAATATGTCTAATCAGGTTTTTCAGTTGGACATGATCTGTAATGAGCACTTAATCAAATGATTGTGTGTGAAGTCGTCATACGATCGTTGCTGAAATTAAGAACGATTTCAGGGAGAAACTCGATCATTTTTTGGGATCTTTAGTCTTATTCTAAAGTTTCGTAACGATCATTGAGCTGAAAGCAATCTTGAAATGTTGATGTTCGATTTAGAACGAACTAAAAAAAGACCGCCCTTAATGCGTTTACAGCTCTGCCTTATCAGTTGAATTATTTTTGGTATACGTTGATATTATCGCTTACTTTATCAGTTCTAAAGAAATATGGATATTCTCACAATCAGCAATAAATGTCCCCCGTTTGAGCTATGTTCCAACACAATTCGACTTAACATGAATGCGAATTAACAAACACGTGCAATTTTTACCCTGTAACCTGAAACCAATTAGCATATCAAGATAATCTCGTCGGTTACTTGAATATAACTTATTCAACAATTGTTCATACCTTACAACTTGACCTCTAGCTAACGAAAGCGCAATCGATTTCATAACCATAACAAGTGAAGTCTATCGCCAGTTTGATTCCCACTTCTTGACTCTTGATCAGTTTGCCAGTCAACTCATCTGATTTCCATCGATCTGTTCTAGTGAATAGCAACATACGCAATTAGAACTCGCTTTTGTTTGCATGAATGTGCAATCGAAATCCAATTCTCAAACATTCACTAATGTGAAAGAAATTCGAGTAGAACTTCATCTAATCGTAAGCAAGCAATTCGAACGTATACGGTTGAGATAGCAAAAAGATTTTCGATGGATCGAGATGAACGTCGATTGCTGTAGCAAAATGAACGCAACTCTCGTGAAAATCCATACATATTGTGAACGTTTCGAACAATTTCCATTAATCAATAATTTATCAGCGCTCTTCTTCTCGTCAAATAACAGCAAACATAAAAACAAAATCAAATGAAACTTTAACAAAGAAACGTTTAAAAAAAACTGAACGCATAATAATTCTTCGGAATTCATCCGTAATGAGCAATAGATTTCATCGGAACTACGCGAGCGAATAATTGCTCTCAATGGAAACTTTCAACGAAAACATTCCTTTCCGTGATTATAAATCGAATATATAAAATTCCGCACGACAAAAGTTGTTGGTTCGAAGGAAAGAAATACCATTCAAGGAAATGAATGAACTCAGAACAATGCACCAAATTCTGTAACCGAAAACTAATAAAATGATACAGTTACGATTAGACGGCAATAGGTGAAAAAGCTATTCAGCGCAACCGGAAAGTAGGAGATAAAGTGTGAACAGAAATATGAGATGAACGGTGAAAACTGATAGATGATCAAATGAAACGACACACGCAGTAGTGGGAAAACAAGAGACGTGTGGAAACAAGATAAGAGATATCCTTTGATTGAGTGAAAGCTCAAGAATTTCAGAGCGAACCGCATCATCGTATATAATGGATATGAAGAAAACTTTCTTATGTCAAGCAAAATGTTACACGATAACAAAAACAAATATAAGAGAAAAAAAACAATAAAAATGACAAAAAAATGAAATCTTCTCAATAGAAAACATGTGCAAAAGCCATTTGAAAAAGAATGAAATTCAACAACAGTTCAAACTGTTCGTAAAATACTGTGAATGAAACGACAACAAATAAGACATTGAATGTGGAATTTCTGAATAGAAGAACAAAACCAACAACAATAATCATAATATAATTAACACCACAAAGACAATAACTGTATTGTTATCGTTGTACAGTGTGGATTTTGGTTTGAGCAAAACACAAAACACAATCGCGCATATGTACGTACCTTCGAATGAATTAGGGTGGAAACTTTTTCAATCAAGCAAAAGAGCCTTGCGTTGATACAGTGTCTGAAAACGCACATGGGAAAAATCAGGCTTGCGCTTATCCAACACCTATGGCCACTCCTTGGCGGAGTAAATAAGTTTAAGGCTGACAAAGAGCAAGTTTTTTTTGTTTCAGCTCGAATCGATCAGTATCTGATCCGGAGATGTTCTCACAGCAAAACTTTCTCAACGTCTACACTTCAATCATCACGGGAAACGAACCTACTGCTCACATCATAATCATGAACATTTCATCTTTCAGCCACACAACCAACTCTTACTCGACCTAACGCATAGTATCGACCTAATGATGAAATCCATGCAAGATCAATTGATACCCGTTTATAATAGTTTACAGTTCATGCGAAAACGAAGGATTATGATGGTTGTTTGATCAAGAGGGAATAAATTATAAATGAATTACAACTGAATCAAGATGATAACGGTAATATAATATCATATAACAATAACAAGAACAACAATATTACTTCTATTACACAATATCAAAGATCATTTGAGGACGGCAACAGCTTAGCAATTCTCCAAAATGAAAAACGTTTCTCTATTCAATGTTACCATCTACAGCTATAAAACACTCATCGCAAAACAAGTATTTACTAATCATTTTAAGTAAGTATTCGAAAAGTACTAAATTGAAGCGCACCTTAACTTGTTGCATCCATTTTTTGAGGAACGCGTCAAATCTATCACTATATTCAGAAGTTCAAAACGAAACATCACCGAGAACTTTCCACTAAAATACCACAAGTAAAATTTGACTAAAAAATTTGCACATCCGATATTTGATAATAAGTGTGACAGTTGATATGTTCTAAATGTTAAAATCCAACTATGACATCATATCAGAAGCGGATGCAACTGGTTGAATTGTCGGTACAGCTATCCCTCGGATTATTTCAATCACCTGAAAACATGAAATCACTGAGCTTCATCGATGAGTCGTAAAACAGTGGGTTGGGTGAAGGGAGGATAAACAGCTCTTTTGACAGAACGATGGAAGAATGAAGCTTTGTGAAAGCTCCATTAATTTAAGATGGTCAGATCAAATGACTCAAACATTCGGTGATAATAAAGATTTTCTCAGTGTCAGATAAAATTGAGAAAAGAAACTAACTATAACAGGAATAACCACAAATCAAACAATAAAATTTCAGTGTACACCAACAGAATATAAAAAGATGGAGAGATAAACTAACCGATCGACGAAATATCGTCAAGTTTTGCGTGAAAACATCCTTATTACGGCTTTTGAGATTCCTTTCAACACCATCCATTAAGCCCGCAAATGCCTTTAATCGTTCAGAATTTTCATCATCAACATAAGATATACTCTGAGTACTTAATGAGTGCATGCATCAATATAGAATTCCTACCACTTCAACATTTCATTCTTCCTCCAAAAAGTACATCACTGACTTACACGTCACCTCTTCCACTCGCTTTACACTGCCAAACAAATCTATCTAGCAAGGATTAACCCATGTCAGTCACACGAAACCTCGACCATTTTATAATGATATTGTTCTTGAGAAGACTGATTACGTTAGGGAATTCGGTTCAGAAAGCATGGATCGTTAGGTGCACTTACTTCTTCGAACATAACTCGCTTCTCGACAGGATGTTGATTGATAAGATCCATTTTCCACTGTTGAAAGAACTCTTCTTGCAGTAGGATCAAACCAAGTAAAGGCCTTGACAGAGACCAGTGACATTTTGCATCATCGAATATTACTGCGTTCAGCATTCCTGCTAGCACCTGTAATCACACTAAGCACCTATTTTCTGTATCGAAACACAACCGGATGACCACATCTTAAATTTTCACACAGTTTTAGGAAAAAAATAATAAATTGCCGGCAAGTGATCATCTCTTAATGAATTTCCGTAGAAATCCACTTTATAAACTCAACAATGTCGACTATCTGAACATTTAAGGATATATCAATTAATGACAATTTGCTCGTTGATTATGAAAGCCTGTCCAATCCTCGAGGATCGTAAAATGAGAGAGAGGTGCTTCTCAAATGAGACGCAAATGTTATGATCTCAAGCATTAGCTTAGACTTGAAAGAAACTTCGACATATGAGTTCAGAAAATGAACCGACCTCAGACAGGAGCGTGGGTTGTGCTTCGAGAGCACGAATACAATTTTCACCGTCTGGCTCAGCACCCACATGAGTACGAACCGGTGATGTACGCGTCAATCGACGATACAAATAATTCAATAACATATCTAGTGTAGCACACGAGGACGTCACCTACAATAAATTGAATATGCGATAACAATAATAATTATCACATCATCGTTCCTTCCATGAATAACATATCCAAGCAGGTTGCAGTTTCATAATCGTACGTAATTTGCATAGTTTACACGTCAACACAAAGTATGCAGTTAATGGAACAGCAATCTCTTTCGCTATTTCATTTAGCAACAATTTAGTGACTGATAAGAATAATAAATAAACATTTGTGTCTAATTATTGATAAGATTTCGCGATGAACAACTCTCGACAAAACTAAGCATCTTCGATTAAGGGTACGATCACAACGACGAGTAAGAGCAAGAGCATACCACAACAGGATCCAAAGCAATTGTTCCTTGGTGTATATATCGAAGCATTGTCACAAAAACTTCCGGCTGTACATTCGACAAAAAACACATATTATCTTGAGCGATACATTCCAACAGAGAATAGAAATGTTGTGTCACTTTCGAATAGGACTGAAAACATAAAATCGATGACTGACTGACTGACTATGCGAGGAAAGTACAATTTGATAATTTGATCCGATTAAATAATTCATTCAAAATCCTAGAAATACATCTCGTTCTACTCAGATCTTATACTACTTCCAATCTAGAATTGTGGAGAAGATTACACATTCGATCCTAGAATTTCACTTAACCGCATAAATTGCCCAAAACTTAGTACTCAATCGAAAAAGCCGACTAGAACAAGAGCGATATAAAGTGATAAAGTAAAATAAAACGAAATAAACATACTTGAAAATCATTTGAGGGTATCACCATGAACATCTTCACAAACATGCTTAGTGCATCCTGAAGACACGTGTCACCGTACAGACGGAACACACCGAACGGTACGTACGACCCACTCAGAGCCATCTTCAGAATCGCAAAGCAAGTTGCGATATTTTTGTATCGTTCACGATAGGCGTTCTCGGGCTGAGGTGTCGGAAGCGATAACATTCGTTCACCTGTTACGAGTGCAATATAAGGCATACCAAGTGAATGTTGTTAGATGAACGATAAATTCACATTCTTTCCTCACAACGCAAGTCTCCATAAATGTTTGAAAAGGATGAAACGGAAATACGAACGATGATGTTAGGAAGATAATCAATTTCGATAATAATAATAATAATAACACTAACCGTAAGTACAAATAATTTTTGACACTTCTCTGAACAATAGCACAGCACTACACGAGGACATTTCAAACTGAAGTCGTTGCTGACGATTTTGGCACAGCTCACACAACAGCTTCAGAACAGGACTCACAACATCCGTACAATTCGTCCAAACTTCAACAGATCGTGCCAATATCGAGAAAACATTCGGATAGCTTAAAATAATCAAAATTGAAACAGATTAATGTTGAAAGTCAATGGGAAAATTGCTGTTTGGAAGCTTTAAGAGGGCAAATAAAATAAGTGATGCAAAAAAGATTCAACTCAAACAAAGCAACTAAACACTGAAAACATCAAAATCAAATTCACTAACAGCCAATCGAAAAGCATCGAATAGATCGTCTTCGAATGACACGAAATCGCAACACCGCGTATATCTCGACACAAACCAATCACTGCCCTCTGCATGCGAAGTATCATTTAATTCATCACGTGGGTACTTTTCAATGTATTACACATCAAAATGCCAGAAAAATGTTCAAAAATATCGTTGAAGCAGAACAACGATGCAAAAAAATAATCTTAACAGTGAATTTTTCGCATACCAGACTATAAAAATTTCACAACGCAGAAAATTTCTCACACGGATGAAAAAAAAACTTGACATTTATTTACTTCTCATTAAAAATCAAACACCTCACCTGCACACGTTGTTGATCCACCACTGATAGCGTGTTGTTCATCGCGAATACATCGCATATTTCACGTACTGCATCTGAAAAAAAAATCTATTGAACTTCCTTATTAGTTTGAACCAAACATCTCTAATGCTCAGCAAAAGCGACAGTTAAATAATAATTTACAATCAATCATTCAGCTGCCTAAACAGCAGTCAATCACGGTAATACCGAAGTAACCAGTCTCACAAATATCAGATACCTGTGAGTGGCTGCATGAATGTAAGAAACACCGAGTCATCGTCCGTTAAATCCAAACACAGTAGCCGTGTAAGTGAGGCATAGAACGTGGTCCGAGATCGCATCGTCATCAGGTCCGTTTCAGACGATAGAAATGCAAAGTGTTCTGCCTGAAATCAAAGCTGATAAAAATTTAAGGATGCCAGAAGAAAATTGAGAGGGTTATAAAATAATTGCAAACTGAATTTTTTGCATTATTCTTCCACAAATGTCCAATAATATTTTCAAAATGTTTAAGTATCTGCTCAAATTCAATTTTTTCTCTAATTCAAAATGTTTTCAAATCGATACTCATTTAAATACAAGTATTCCCTTCTTAACGACTGAGTCAGAACGGAGGGGGACTGCGCTTGAGAGGAGGGGAGAAGAATGTGGATTTGTGATGTGGTCAAAGAAGAAAACTGATCACAAGAGGGTCGCAAGCATTGACAAGCAAACTGTAACTAACGTACGGTGTGATTGTTTAAGAGTAACTGAATGTCCGGAAGACGAACGAGACGGCGAGCAGCCGCATATCCCAACGAGAGCTCATTGAGAAGCACGAGTGTCTGGTCGATCAGCTTCTCTTCACGCGCCCAATATTTCAGGTTGGTTATGCTGCAGCAAACAACCAATTATAAGTTGATGGTTTAATTTCCACCGAGCAACATCATCTATCTATTGAAATGGATTAATATTTCATCAGCTGTACAAATTTGAATAACTCTCACTTAATGATACCTGGCCAATCTTGAAATTAACCCGAACTTATCAAACTAATCCATCAAAAGCTTTCTTTTTTAATACTAATACAAAAACTTTTTTGATGACAACTGTGAAGAATCAATTACAAGCATACAATGGTGAGGGAATTGAGAAGCAATCACCGAAAGAGAGATAATTTGAAGCAAAAAAAAGGAAACGACGAACATTTTTCGAACATAAACCACCAAAACAGCGCCTTCGTCATTCAGACCAAGATTCTTCTCCAACTGACCATAAACACCACAGAATTTTTGTATTTGATCGCTCACATAAACCTTCCGAAACTGCTCCAGGGTATACAAGAATGCGGTTTCCAATTTCAGATTGCCAGCCACACCGGTTGACAAGCGTCCATCGGACAGTTCCATCAGTTTCAGTGCCCTGATTCAGTAAGTAATTTCTTTTGAGCGAATCCAAACACAACATATGAAAGATACAACATGGAATGTTGTATCGAATAAACGAATATACTCGCAATCAGTAGAGATACGAGCTGCGAAGTAGACAGTCTTGCCGTAAAAATTCATCTTGGCAATTAAAAAACATTCGATTCGGAGTATTTTCGATTCGAAAATGTTGAACTGGGGCACAGCTAAAGGCGCCGCAAAAAATATCTGAATTTTAAAATATCACCCAACTGCACGCACACACACACAAAAAAAATGCTACCTGCACACCAGATCTCCATCGTTCAAATCCGGGTCATCTACGCTACTCAACGCGGCTCTCCCTTGCACGGCTGCACCAATCATTATCACTAGCCAAGTTAAACGCGCTGTTGACAAATTCACTTCGGCACTCTGCAAACAAACGTCCACTCTTCACACAATTACTTCAAGTCAACGATTTAGACTAAAACAAATGAAATACTCGGCTTTATTCGATAATCAGAGAATATATGCGGCCGCAGCAAGTATTTTATCAGCCTGCATTGACCAGGCTATCATCAAACGTCTGTAATGCTCGCAATGTTTCCGTTCGCACTGTTTTAGCTTTTATTCACGCCACCCTGCTGGCTAGACGAGCAAGCCAAGCGAACACAACCAAGTAATTAATTAGTTCGAAGCCGTAAATACTTTGTGAACGAAATTTTATCAAGCACTAGCAAACAGAGATCAATCGCCTTATCGATCAACGAATAGCAGATCAAAACGCAACGCAAACTGACCGGTGATGTCGGAGCCCTTTCGAATATAGCAAAATCATGATCGAACAATGCGATAATCAGCTGTGCTGTTTTATCATATTCACATCTGCAGATAATGGCCACTTGTTCCATTACTTGTAGCAGCGCGACATGATCATCTAACGGATCCTCCGACAGTTCACCACTGAATCAAAATTAATTATTATGCTATTATTCTTGGCCATTTCCAACATCCAATATCCAACTAATTTCACTTTCTTTCCAAACTCTGTGCAAAAGCACTTTGCATCTCCAAGTTTCCTCCCTATCATATATATCAAAATACGATAGAGATCAGTACGGCACCTCACAACAGCTTTAGCGTACTCTAAACGACCCTCAATGAAAGCAGCCGTTATCTTCGGACAATACAAATTCAGCAGATGTGGATCGGTCGATTTCACGTAAGGAACAGACGACACCATACGTTGCCAATACGACAACAAATAGAATGTGCTGTTCACCGAGAATTCGTATGCCTGAAATGAAACTCAGAAAGTATTGCTGAATATTTCCGTAAGACAACCGAATAATGCTCAAGCAGAACGATTCCATTGAAAGTGTTGACCACAGTCTCACTGAATGCTTCTATGCCAAAATATCAAATTATAACATAGACAATGTAAGTGGTTCATACAGAGTTTCACTTTTTATACATTGCAGAAGATATGCAAAAAGTTTCGGAAAGGAGTGAACATTTTAAAAGAGTTCATCAAGAGCTGGGAAATATCTGCTTACCCGCAAACTGTTAACCGTGAAATCAGCCAACAGTGCCATCATATCGGCGTACTCGTCAACTTTCATCAATTCACACAACTGATAATTACTCTTCAAACGTGATACGACTCGACAAAACTCATGAAAACTCTCCTGTAACACAACAAAACAATCGATATCAGCCCATTCGGATGTTGCAAAAGATTCACATAAATTTGCTTCGAAGAGAATTCAACACTGAGAACAGAACAGCAAATCTGCATTACCTCAAAATAGCTAGGAAGCAATTTCGTTTCCTCGCTATTACTAGGCCAAATTATGCAATTTTTAGATGGGAGTACTACTTCAGAGCATTCGGAAACGATCAACAACAGATCATCTCAAGCATTATGAATTTCGTAAATTTAGAAGTTGGAATCCCAAATAAACAGAATAAATGGATGAATGAATGCAAAAAAAAAACTAAACCTGTTGCCTCAATTTATCAGGTCTTTCCATAACACCTTTAACACCTTTCACGATTTCAGTTAAGAAGAGCTGTCGTTCCGTGGAAGAGAACAAGGTTCTCCGCAACGAACTTAACTGCACAACATTCTGTAGCACTTTACCCGATAGTTCCATTGGCAGCACATTATACAAACGAAAATACATTGTCATCACGTGACCATCCGTGAATGCTGCAAACTAACAAATAGATGAAGATGAACAATATTCGACTTCATTTGTTTGAAAAATCATTCTTATATCCCATACCTCCTTGAATACAACACATTTCATGAATTCATTCATCATGAAAGATGCATGGAAAATTCAAAACTATGAATCGTGATTCTCATTGTCCGATATAAACATTGAAATAAATAAATAAATAAATCACAAACCGATTCTCCATGTCGTTGGCACTTGTACGGTGACATTGTCATCGCCTGACTCGTCCGATAGACTCCCAATGAAATCGAACGTTAAACAATTAAGTGAAAGTTGTAAGAGACCATTTGCCAATTGCAACTGAAAATCTTTAATGCTTGAAACTTGTTAAACGTTTGATTACTATTCATTTGCGCTTCTCTTAGCAATCATTAGCGAAACATGCATCAATACTCCTCACATCGACAGTAAACTTTTCTTGAATCTGAAGTTTTCTGAAATTCACGAATGATTTTCCATACAACCTCAAATTCACCACACGAATACTGGCAATCTAAATAAGTGACCTGTGATTGATCCACATTCGTTGCAGTTGAGATTTTATCGAGCATATTTGTGGATAACTTGAAAATATCCAGCAGATGACAATCACGAAAACTCAACGCTATCTTCCGTTGCTTACTAATCGAATCGACACCAGCCATCTGCAAACAAAATCAACACAACTGTCAAATATCTTTTTTCGAAATGAAAATTCCAGAATGCTTCTTCAGAATTTCCAAAAAATCGGTAAAAATTCTTTTTTGCAAGATCAACAAACGACTAATGAAGATTACCGTATTCATATCGGACACGAGCAGCGCTAGAAGTTGCACGGCAAGTAAGCCTCTTTCAGCACTTTCCTATAATCAGATAATGTAATACATCTAGAAACTGAATGATTTTGTCCAAATGAAAATATTCTCAGCGATCTTATAGGAACAAAAAAAATTTCGTCAAATGATCTTCACCAGAATGTAGAAACCGGAAAAACTGTTCCCTTCCCTCACATCACTCAATTCAAATGAAGCATTCAAAAAATATATGTTCAAAAGAAAAAGCATATACCTCAGCAAGCCTAGCAATATTGTCGACCGGTTCTCTGAATGGAAATGTTTTCGAGTCGAGATCATAATCCAACCATCCCAATTTGGTGAGACGTGCGAATAGTTGACATAGCGATGACACTACGAACGGAGGCAATGATGCACAACGTTCACCGAGATAATTCAACAGATAAGTACCTGCAAATTGCACTTCTATTCTTGATTCTTGACTGCGATGAACATATGTTACTCGAACAAAATTATCAAATAAAAATCATTAGGACAATTATCATAGTGAGGACAATTCTTTGCAACAATCAAATTCTATTCGAATGTTGGCTATCATAGTGAGCAATGATACTGCCATCCATTAAACAATAACTGATGGTTCAGTGAACCTCAACTGAAGTTCACTAACACTCTATCTAGTAATCTATGGACTATTTGAAGTGTATGCCAACATTTGAGAGGAATGTTTGAAAGAAACAAATGAATGACAAACTCACAAAGTTCGAGTCTTTGTTGTTGATTGACACCAGTCTTCGAAGTCAACAGCTTCAGTAAAGTGTTACTTGCAACTAGCTGTGCATATGGAACCTAAACAGTCAAGTTCATTCAAAATTGTCAGAACGTAATTTCCTAGAACCTAAATAGAAAGANTTACCGTTCCACTTTGAAGCAGCAATGTGCATCGTTGAAGACATTCTGGAGATGCAGCCAGCTCGGCCAGATTGCGTTCGGCTTGCAGTCGACTGCCACTATCAACACTCTCATACAACATCTTACACAGGTTATCAAGCACCTCAAACGTTCATTATGTAACGGCAATACTAATAGATGTATGATAAAACTCACAACGGGATCAACTAATACACGAAGGAAATGTTCCACTTTGAATGTTAACGTTTCATCCTCATGAGTGACCACTATGGCATTCACTGCATCGCTTCGAATGGAAACCTCCAATTGAAACTGCATCTGTCTCTTCTTGCAATTGCAGAAAGCACAGACGACATTGCATGTTAACTCATTAGATATTACGCAAAATATCCAATCCTCACACAAAACCAGAACATTACTTGAAACAACCGCAGTACCGATTTTGCACTTGACATAATGAATGACTGACCTAAAGTCACTGACCCACATCTGGTTCAGTTAACTGCCAGCTACCCAAGAACATATCCTGTTATGCAAATTCAAAATTTCAAAGTGTTCACATAGGATAGATTTTGCTGTGCATGTACACTGACTCTTGAGCGTGCTACTTCGTGTACCTGGATCAAACGAATGAGAATCACTGGAGTTAGGAAATCAACGAACCTGTATTTCGGAATTCATGACTGCCGATTAAGTAGATGATACTTCTGCGGCGACCAAATAAGAATCCAATCCAATGGTTTCACCCGGCTTTTTGGACAACAGCAATTCGTCGATATCTCCGCCAACTCCACCAGGATCTTGAGAGCACAGGATCCTTTGTGTGACTCAATTCAGTGCGATATCTGGAAGCTAAAATCTCTCTCTTAACATCAATTCTGCACATTAACCAAAGGAAATTCGACGCAAATTCTTTCACACATAAATACCATTCAATGGCAACAATACGCTTCATAGGATACGTTTTCGAGGCAAATTTCAACAATGCCGAGAGCACCATGGTTCCTGAAATGCTTTAACAAATGGAATGAATGGCAGTGAATGAATCAACCCAGCACTGTAATAAGCACTGTTTTAATCACTACAATTATCAGTGAAAAACGAACTCAGCTTTGAAAAGAGTGCACAGGGATTTGAGAAAAAACTGCGAACATTAAAACTTCATCTAGCACTGTGAAAACCAAATTTTAAATTTGCGATAAATGAAACGATAATCTCAACTCCTTCGAACAGCACCACAAAATTTCTCATATATATGACATTTTACGACTGTTCAAGGTACAACTATGATTAAGAGCGAGACCAGCGGTCACGCCTAGGCTTCGACTTCATCTTTGCATCGACCGGACATGTCTGAACTCTTCGAAGGGCTCATAGTTTTGGGAATTCTTTCCGAACTCTTCAGTTATCTTCTTTTGTAAATATTTTTTCCCACTACAGGCATAAACCATTTACAAACTTTGAACTATTCCTCGGCAGATATTTTGAACATTCACTACAAAGAACAATTCATCGCAGCCAACTCTTTTCCAGTACTGCCAAAACTAATTTCACCACCTCCCCCCTCCTGAAAAGACTGCGACCTACTATGTTTAACACATGCTACTCAATATCAAGCAGATGTTCGATCACAATTGGCTTTCACAAAATCTTAATGGCATCCACAATTCTGATATATAACTGCAAACCAGAAATTCTTTATATTCATTGAAAATTCAGAACTCTTCGAGACAAAATTACGAATTACTGAATTTGACCAGTCAAACAAACACAATAAAAGAAAGGTAATCTCAAGAAATGGAAGGAGTTTCAATGAGAACACGAAAACGATTAATTTTTTTCGAATGTGGAAAACAACAAGCATACGGTAAATTTTCGAAAATTATCAAAATGTAACTCATTAGGAAGAAATTCAAAAAATTGGAACTTCTTGAAGCTGAAGAAGTGCCCTCACATAAGTCAAACAAACTCATCAGTCCGGTCGCTTATTTGAGAGAGCTTCTTTTCAGCATCCAATAATATTCCGACACACCACAATAACCAATCATCATATACGCGATACAACGTTATACAATACAAAAAATCACAAAAACCACAAAAAATGAAGCATACAACGATAATCATTCATATCAAGAATAAACAATTTTCTCATATATGGATGACTACATCCTTTCATGATCTCCAATCTGCAACCGACTAGGACCCGTGAAAAAAAAAGATGTTTTCAATCCCTCAGTTCAATGTTTTCGTCCGTTTTCTGGTTCTTTTGTTCACAATCAGTTCATTCATCCCTGCTAAATGTAAACAAGAAAGCATTATTGAAACTGAAATTCAGTCTTTCGACGATACAACAGTCAGTGGTGTATACAAATAATCGGCCAGTGCCTTGAGTTTAGCACTCAGAAGTCCCATCGGAACTGAACTATTCGCTTTTATGGCCAACAGCATACTGGCCACCTTCGTGATTGCTATCACACCATCTTCACATTCCAATATCATTTCGTTGAGATCTTCACGAATTCCTTAAATCAACAAAACATTTCTCACGAAACAACTCAGTGGATCACGATTACAATGAGTTCTTTTAGTACACAACATGCCGAGGAAAAGTTCTGCTTATTTTTTTAACAGGACGTTACAACGTTCAAGCACCTCACTCTTCCTATAAGGTTTAAAAACAGAAACTATAAGATATAAACTATTTACCATCTCTGCATACAATAATGAGATATACAAATATCCCGAAATTTGAACTAATATTACCCAAATCGTTGATCAATTTCACAAAGCACGGTATATGTGAAGGATTTCAGATTCACGTATACAGCTACAACAAATTTTCCTGGAAATGATAACGATTTTATTTTGAACGAAAAGGTTAACCTTGTCTTTCGAAAGTATCCCATATATTCGACAGGAGTGCAGCAGATACAGTAGCATTGGCGCTACTTGAATCCACACTCTCATAACCGCTGTAGGCCAGAAGAAGTCCCTCACGATTCAAAAGCAGTGCACCTTTCGCATCTCCCGTATTCACCTGGCCCAGAACATGCGTTAAAGCTTTCGGCTTTAGCATTCTCTCTTCACTCTCTCTGAAAGCCAACCCCAAATCAAATTGCTTCCTCACGATTGCTTCGTTCTTATCTTATGAGGATTCCTCACTTGGTGACATTATTGCAGACCAATGAAAAGAAATCCGACTCAGTTCACTGTAGTCTCGATAGGTTTTACAACTACTTCATGCCTGATATGAGCCAAAATTCTTCCGCATTCGATGAAAAAAAAANAAAAAAAAACGAGTCTAACAAAAGATATAGTCTTATGGTAACAACATTGATAATATGTTCACACAACGAACAAATTGTTTTTATAACTTTTTTTAAAACTTTATTGTACTCTTAATTAGTGACAACACGATCGGGCATAACAATAAGCAAAAGAAATAAATGAATAAACGAACGGAAACGAGAACTTCAAACTTGTTGAAGATCAATATGAATTACAAATGATAGGCTGTGATCGTACAAATATGACTCTTCCTTCACCCATCTCATAAAAGATCGCGGAATGTCAGGCTACGAGAAATTTTCGATAACGCAAATTTTTTTCGAGGAAACTACCAAAATTACATGGATACAGCAACACAATGCCAAATTAGTTGAAAATCAAACCGAGGGTTTGATACGATGGGTTGATTACCACCAACAGATCATCAAAGAAATAAATACAACAGCGATAATCCGTTGGTGAGATGGCCGAACAACGCGTAATGAAATCGTGATGATCAACACTACTCGCGATCAACGAATGCATTTTCCATAACTCCAAATCATATTTCTTCAATCCGTCCATCGATTCGTGCACGACGGGTTCATACACACATAGTACAATCTCATCTCCTCCTGAAACAAAAAACAAATTTATAGCCTCAAACAGAACAACCGAATCATATGAGATAAATGAATCAAAACTTGATTAGATTACTCGCTGGTGTCATTATTACCATTACAACTATCACTATCATTAATATCACAATGGAACATGAAATAACTGCACCGACCTCAGCTCTCCGAGACTGCGCTTGAAAAAAGACAGCTTCTCGATAGCCACAGCTGGGACAGGGATGATCTTCAGTTTTCGGTAGCGTCGGGTCATGGATGACATCAGCAACAATTTGCGTTAATTCACTGAAACAACCAATGTTTTCAAGGAGAAATTTAAATCTCTTGAATCTTTATTTCTGTTTCGTCATTCACCATTTTCTCGAGTTTTGCTCCATCTATTACACGAGTAGAAGGAAAAATTTAACAACAAACACAAACGAGAAAATCAAACGAAAGCTAACTCGATTTCATGCATAAGTTTGTTAACGTATATGCATGGATTCTCGGAAACCTGCTTGTGATCACAATTACGGCATGCATACAACAGCTGTCGATTTTCTTTGTCTTCTTTTGGATACAACATGTTATTGCTGAAAACATGATTCCGTTGTGATCGGAAAGTTTTTAAGACCTGCTAAAACCATAAATGCAATGCTCACAATCTCCGAAAAGCAAAAAACTCGAGCACTTTGAAATATTCCAAAATACCGGAAAAATACTCTGATGAAATACTCTTATACTTCTTCATAATGGAACAAAATCAGGCAAATTAATGAAAATTTCTTCTCATAGAGTTGGCCGAAATAAAGAACTCACCACTCTGGGCAAAACTTTATGCCGACGAAGCCTGGTCCCGCGCTCATTTTTGTCGAGTACGGTTTAGATACCGGCAATTCTATATGTATGAAGAATTCAAAAACGAAAAATAGATCGTTTGTGAAAAAAACCGAAAATCGTTTGTGTAAATGAAGATGTATACACACTAGGAGGAACGGTTGGGGTAAAAGAAACCAAATTGCACTTTCGTACGCGCGCGGGCTCGAATGTTCAAAGGTGAGAGAAGG